TCCTTACACTATTCACAAAACCAAATGTGGACTTTTCCTCCGAGTCCACCACGTCTCTCTCTTCGACCCTCTCTCCACGGTTCCCCTCTCTCTCTCTCTCCGATCTACCATTGATCCTTAGTCCTTTAGCTCTCCGTGTCTATCATCATTACTCTATTCTACCTTTCTATTTAATTGATCGTGGAACTCTCTCTTTCATCATTTGATTTCACATGCATGTCTCTTTCACATATATGCCCTAATCTAGTGTTTGAATCTAGAATTGTAAATCAGTCTTCTCAGCCCTAATCTAAATTTCATGGGTATGTTCCTATTTTTTTTTTTTGGAAAATTTTGCAGGTATTTATGAACAATTTCAAGGGTATGTTGCTGTTATACTAACTTGATGATTAATCTGAAGCAATGCTTGGTTATTCCTAAGTGATAATTTTATGTTAATTTCTTGTCCTCATCTCCTTTCAATCTTTTTATTTTTTATTTATTTATTTAAATAAGAGTATGAGAAAGATTTTATGGATAGGTTGGTGCTGCAAAAAGAAAGTGTTGGCACAAAGGCCTACTTCCATGCTTTTGATAATAACAAACAAACAAGAAATGTACTTGACCTTCTCTCTTAAGTATTGTAGTAACAGGAAAGCTTTTGACAACGATCAATAAAGGAATTCTTAAACATCAATCAATGGCAAACAAAGCTTAAAGGTATTTCAAGGAAATCACAAAAGGGGGTAGCTTAGATTGGTGAGAAATAGATATTATGTGAAGCATTTGATTTACAGCAAGTGATCTAAAGCTCAAAATTGTTTTTCAAAAATACATACATCTCAGTTCATCATTCAGGAGATCTAACCGGTTAGATCATCCATGTAACCGATCAGATGAGGATCACATTGAGTATGCATTCTTTGCTAAAGTCATGTAACCGATCAGATCTCACATGTAATCGATCAGATGATCAACTCAGTGAGCATGTATTTGTGATTGGCAATCTAACCGATTAGATTAGCCATGTAACCGATTAGATGAAGCTATGTAACCGATTAGATGGCAGCATGTAACCGATCAGATGAAGAAAACAGAAAGGATGTCAAAAAGTTGTTCTCCCGCATCTAAACAATTAGTTCACAGATCTAACCGATCAGATGAACTCATGTAATTGATCAGATGAACAATATACTCGATCAGATGAATTTCACAGAAAAAGGGAAAATTATCTCAGATCTAATATAACCGATTACATGCCTGATCTAACCGATCAGATGATCCAAATAATCGATTAGATAGTGAATATAATCGATCAGATTAGTCTGCAGATCTGATCTAACCGAGTATTTGGCCAATGTAACCAATTACATCTGATCCTCATTCAGCGGTTTGGAAAGTTTATCTACCTTTTCTGTCCAGATCTTCACAGGGCTCTATATATGTGTGTGATTTAGACAAGAAGAAAAATACAGCTACAGTAACAATCTTCCTCGAGAGATATCATAATCATTCAATCTTCATATTTTCTTGATTATTGTTTCATACAAATCCTATTGAGCATATAATCTCTTGCTGTATTTTTCTCTTGCTATAGGACTATGAGCTTTTCTTTTCATATCCCATCTTGAGAGATTGTAACAAGTTTCAGCTTAATTCGTTCATTTGTAAGGGTTGAATAAACCTAGAAGAGGACTAAGAGGGGATTGTTCTCTCAACAAGAAGAATAGAAGCAGAGTGCTTCTTGTACCGGTTTGCTCTCCACTCGTAAGGAGGTGCCTTAGTGATTTTTGGAAAAATCTCAAGAGGGATCTTGATCCGTGAAGTAGGAGTTATTGAACCTTGCTAAAATCATCGTGTCAAGTGTTTGTAATTCTCTATCTTTCTTTACTTTTTAATTGTGCTCGATTTCATTATAGATCTCATTTGTATGCTTCAGTAAATCAAGAATGCTTTAATCTGATATATCCTATTATTTGGTATTATTAGCATAAGACTCTATTCACCCCCCTTCTAGAGTCATTATCTGGGCAACAAAAAGTGTTTTAACTTCTACTTATGAAGCAATCAAACGAGAGCATGAATTACTTGCTTTAGAATTTACGGCTAATAGACTGGGCAATAGAAGATGAGTTTAAGAACAAAGCCCTGCTTAACAAGTGTTTTAACATATTCGTAGAATCTATTGGATTAACAAGTGTTTTAACATATTCGTAGAATCTATTGGATTATGTAGTGATAAGTGCTGAATATTGCATATTCGAACCCTTAAATGTGTGTATGTTGAGACCTTAAGTGTGATACTTCTATCCAGTTTTATACTTATTTTAGTATAGCCAAAATCGTGATTCTGGAGCTTAAAGATTGTTTCTAGAACTTATGAAGTTGTAGCAGACCATCTAAGGCAAGTTTGTAGTCAAACAGTGGATTTTGAAGAAGTTCAAGTGTCAGAGCTCGAACACAAAGTGGAATGAAGCAATAAAAGTGACTATGGCAAAAAATATTTTATAAAAATGTCATATAAATTGTTATGTATCAATTTCTAAGTGGCATACTTTTTAATTACTACTTAGTAATTGATATGCTGAGTAATTTATATAATAATCAGTTATCAATATATTTTTATATAAACTTTTGTTAATAAACATATTATTTTTGTTACAGAGTAATATACTTTAATAAGCGTGCTTAGTATTTAATAGATGAACTTGGTTTAAGTACGTTGGTAATAGTAGTTGAATAAGTTAGTTGTTTTTTTTTTTTTTTTTTTTTTTAATTAATAAATAATTGTTCATTTTTTAATTGATTTGCTAAATGAATTTTTTGTTTCAATTCTTTCATGTAGTCAGTCACGTTGTTTGTCAATTTGATATAACTTTGAAATATATTTTATAATAAAATAAATATTTCATTTATCATTTAAACAAGGGCAAAAATGATATAATATTATTTTTATTCCAAATCCCATTTCAAATCAAACTTTAAATGCAATTTGTTCCAAACATATAAATGGAATTTCATTTTAGTTCCAATTCATATTCCTTTTCCAAATCCCAAAATAATTGGTTCCAAAGCCTCAATTGCTTACTGTACATATGTATGTTAGGTTTAGTGCAACAGTTAGTTGTTCTTGTGTGATGTTCAGTGATATTTTAAAATGTGTTGAAACTGGTAGGAGACATCCCCAGTACGTGTCACCAAATTCTCCCTCCCATGCGATGTCAATTATAGTATTAAATTACTAGTTCATAATTGACAAATTTGCCCCTAATTTTTTTAATACCATCCACAATATCAACAAAGTAAAATGACTATTTTACCCCCTCATTACTCCCACCTAAAGGTGGCCGGAAAAGAAAAAGAAGTAACATGACCAACTCAAAACCACATGAACAACAAACAACTAAGGAATAATAATACTTACAAAAAAAAAAAAAAAAAAAAAGGTACAATAAGACAAAAAAAAAAAAAATTACATTATTGTACTAAATACCTTTGTGAAAAGTACATCTCCTAAAACCGAACCTACATAGCCAATTATTTAGTTTGTGAAGCATAAAAAAAATTCTTCCTTCATCTTTTCTTATACTCATTTCAATTCACTCACATTTCTCCCCTTTCTATGTCAATCTTTTAATGAATTTAACATGAAATTTGTGTTACCACTTGTTAGAAATGCCATTAATTTTGCATTGTTCATGGTTGGTTACACAGTAGCCAAAAAGGTTATCTCTAAGGTAAAATTTCATCTAAAGGCCTAGACTAACTAGTTGCACTATTTTAATGAGAATGGTGATGCACCAGGTGGACATTGAGATTAAGTTTCAATTACAATGTAATATCTATATATGTTATAAATAAAGTGTGAAAAAGAAAAGAAGAATGGAAAAATTAATTGGGGGCTTCCACTAGCTAGTACTAAGCTTTGGGAGTTTGACTAATCAATGCAATATTAAATTTCTGAATTACTCAATGGCTTATTGTACATTTGTATGTTAGGTTTAGTGCAACAGTTAGTTGTTCGTATATGATGTTCAGTGATATTTTAAAATGTGTCGACAAAGGTAGGAGACATCCACAGTACATGTCACCAACTTCTCCTTCCCACGAGATGTTAAGTATAGTATTAATTACTAGTTCATAATTTACTTAATTTGTGGTGGTGTACGAAAATTTTGATCAAAGTACTCAAAGTTTTAAATTATTAAATAAGATGATTGATGAACTCGTACCGGAGGAATTATATTGTAGGCTTTCTCTTGGTTTGGTGGCTGGCAAGGCCAAAAATTTGAATGTATAAAACCAATATATTTTTGAAAAATTTCTTTCGGATGGTTTGATGAATCAATTTGGTAAAAGGTATGGGTAATCTTTTAAACAATTCTTTAGGATTAAATGGGATTTTGATAAAGTAAAAGGGGTAATAATGTCTTTTTATAAGTAAAAAGTGGTATGAAACAACTAAAAAATAACTTTTGAGGTGTGAGTGAAAAATAGACTGAACGTTTGTAATATGAGTGATAGTAATTTTTAAAAGATATTTCAATGTGATATTTGGCCAAACATGAGAAGGTGCAAGTAAAGTTAAATTATTGAGCTCTAGAGATTGCGTGACCTAAGCAATAGTATAATTCTCGTATCTATCTTGGGCGTATGTGTGAATTTCTTAACTGGGTGGGTAGGGTTCTCTTTAATTACCCCATATTTCTAAAAGCGCAAAATCCAACCCAATTATATGCACGGCCCACGCAGAGGAGCCCAGAAGGAGAATATATATAGAGAGAGCGAGGATCCATATTCATATTACACGTATCATTCTCATCGTTGGTGCCCGTTTGGGTTAGGATCAGGGCCGCCCCTGGGCCTAGACGACCCAGGCGGCCTCCAAATTTGGGGGCCTCAAATTTTGGCCCAATCTATATACTTAAAGTAGGTCTCAACAATTGTTCCAAAAAAATGTTTGGGTTTTTGGGCCCAATTTTGTTCAGTTGGCTCTTTTAGCCACTGATTTTCTTTACCCATTTTTATCTGTGTTCTAGGGCTCCTGTCGGCTGTCGATCCTCGAAATCGAAGGACAAGATTTGGGTTTGCGTTTGTGAGATTAGCTTCAGTTTCATCAGGAGCAGCGCCGAAAAGATTACAAGTAAGTAACTCGTCCAATTAATGGTACTGGGTTCCTTTTTGGCTTTTTCCAATCTGAAATTGATTTTTTTCTTGATTCCGTGTGTTTATGGAATCCTTTATCTCCTTTTTGATCAATTTGAATCTAATTTTATTGAGGTAATCTATATTTTATTTCAGCAAAACAAATAATTTTTTATTTCTGTAACTTCTATTTTTTTTTTTTTTTACAAGTATATCTCATTCTCATCTAATCGTTGGTGCCAGTGCCAGTTAGGGTTAGGGTTTTTTCTGCTGTGCAATCGTATGGCTTCTTCTGTCTCCCATGTCACTTCTGAACCATCACAAAAGTCTTATGGACAACCAGGAAAGGGGCTGAACATCCGTGACTTGTTGAGCGATGAACAGATAGCCTTGTACCGTGAAGCGGTTCTCGTAAGAGTATGCGGCTCTTCTCCTCAGTTATATATACACATAACATAGTGTCTATATATATATGTTTATATATTTATGGTGCTAATTAATTTAATTTGGTGTTTTTATTATAGGGGTATGATTTTCCAAAATATCACCCCCACAAGAATTCAGATTCGGTCATTGGTTACTGTCGTTCATCAATTCAGCAGTACAATAAAATGAATGTATGCAAGTTTTTTTTTTTCTTCTTTTAATTAATATATGTTAAAATTCACATTACCCTTCTTTTCATATTGGAAAATTTCTTTGGTACTAGGGGACAAATTATGAGTTTGTGAGAGCTGCGGAGGCAAACATTGTGGGTGTTAATTTCATCTTGTGCCTTACTTTTGAGGCGAAGGATAAGGATGATGCTGATGGTCAGTCTAATATTTTTCGTGCTAATGTGTTCGAGAAAAAGCAACCAATCCGCGTGGTGAAGACTCATGAGGTAAAATTAGCTTTTTTTTCTTTTCTTTTTTTAATTATTTTTTTTTTATTATACCTCATTTATAAGTTATAGGTTGAAAATTTAGGATATTAGATGCTATCAAGGATTCTATATATATATATATATATATTGAAGTTGATTGCAAGGATATTATCTCTTTTGGATTATCGTGTGAATTTTAGAAAAAGCATTACAAGGGTTCCAATCAATTAAAAAGTTCCTCAAAAAGAGGAACTAGAATATGATGAGAATAACATGTCTAATTTAGTCCAAAGCTTATGTCGATGCAACATAACTCTTATTTTGTTTTATTGTAAGAAATAAAAGGGTTCTAAACACTTAAAACTTTCTTCGAAAGAAGAAATAGGATGAATATTAAGAAATATGATGTCTAATTAGTTGAAAGCTTATGTCCGTGTACCACAACTCTTAGCATTTTTCCAATAAAAGTATTGTTAAGAACATTAGGTATTAGGTATTAGTTTTTTTTTTTTGGTAAGTAAAACATTAGATATTACTCTGTAGAGAAGAATATTGAACCCCACAAACTATTAGTTACTTTGATAACAACCAGCTTTTTTAACAGTAACTCGGAATTACTCAAAATTTTGCAATTACCATACTATCAGATAATGTTAGAGAAAAATAGAATGTAGTCATGTGCAAAACTCATGGCATATAGTATTATCATTTTCACCATTATACCTATCCTATGCACCATTATGTTCTGGATTGACATCAACTCCCTATAAACGCCAACTTAAGTTGGAGCATAACGAATGGGTTACGTTTTTCGCTTGCAATGACGAGCGCTGGAAAGGCAGTAGCGGTAACCTTAGTTGTACTGAAATTGACTGAGCCAAGTTTCGGGGAGCGCTATACAGGTTTTTGGACTAATGATGTCGAGTTGGAGATGCTATCTCAACAGGAGGATTCATGACCTTTATAAAATAGAAGGCGATGTAAGGTAGAATGTGGAATGTGGTTTTGGAAGAGGAGATGGTAAAAGAAGTGGATTCTATTTTGGGTGTTAAGAAGGGAGAAATTTTGGTGATCGGTGGTTGGTTGGTTTTGTTCATTTGGGCTTGTTGGTTTCTAATAGTAAGTGTTATTAAATTTTTTTATAAGTATAGTATGTGTTATTTAATGAAGACTATTTTATTCATGAGTTCACTATCTTTTGTAAAATGAAGATTTGAGTAAGGAGAATTACTCATATAAATGAAGATAAAGACTTTTTAGCTGAAAATGAGGGAATTTAAGTCATAGATTTAGGTCAGTGTCTCGACACATTTGACCACCTTTTTTTTTTTTCTATGAACTTTTTTTCCTACATAACGTTGGATTGTAAAATATGAAGGATTAGTACCGAGCTTTGGGAATTTTGGACCGATACTTATAATTTGTTGTGCTATTTAAGTGAGTCTAGGCTTCAGTAGCCCCTATTTAAATCAGGACGAGATTGTGGAATGGATCGATTCTTGGATTGAAATACTATCCCACGCCTTATGGTTTGTGATAATATATGAACATTTATCATTTTAAATTTGTATAATTGCAAATACTTATCAAATTTTTTTTTTGTATAATTGCAAATATATTGTCATTTTAAAAATATCTTCTAAATCCAATTTATATACATACAGAATGCCATTGTCCTTGTTATCTCCATATAAGCAATTGTAGCATGACCATACCTTTATTGTGTTTTATTTTTATCTGGTAGGGACTGCTATGTCATAACTCTCTCATGCCCTGTTGTTTGGGATGTTGATGATTGACTTGGAGTGAAAAAAAAAAAAAAAAAAGGACGATTTTCAGTTGAGTTTTAATATTGGCGAAGCAGTTGGATAAAAAAGGCATCCCTAGTAGAAGTGGTAGAATTATTCCTAGTATTTCAACTAACCCAGAGAGATAGTGTTACATTATTACAGTGAATATGTGACCTAAACGCGATTTGATTCAATAACATCGGATGAGGTTATTGAAAATGATATTAAAAAAATAAAATAAAAAGTTAACTACAGTATAGATGAAATGGCTTGTAATAGAAAAGTTTGGAGCGAGAGAATTCATGTGGTCGACCCCATTCATATGGGATTAAGGTAAGGATGATGATGATGAATCATGTGAAGTGCCGAATGCTTGAGGATGAGGAGTGTAGCGAAGCTTTACACATTTACGTTGATTCAGTGAAAATTATTACTTTTGATTCGTCTCTTAAATTTTAATCATTATGTTTATTTAGTAATTCTTTTGGATTATAATGGTTGTTTATTTATGCCTTTTGTGTTTTTTGTGCACTTTCTCATACTCAAGTAGTCCTATAAAATGGAATTCTAGGTATGTTGATAACCAACAAAAATGTTCTGGATTTGGATTTCCATCTTGACAAAGTTATCAAAGATCATACCAATGGTTAAATAATCCAATTAAGTTTATGGGTCTAACAATTTCGCTATATGCCCCTATTTTAGGTGGACTTGGTACATTTATCAGATGTGGTATGTGAGTTGAGTGTAGGATATCAAATCTTCCAACCTAAGAAAAGTGCAATAAGGCTAAAAATTCTCATATATTGAATTATATTCTTCGGAGTAGAATTAGTTGTTTTAGACAATGTAGACGAAAAGGAACACAACGAGGTAGTTTAATGTACAAATTTTTGTTACTGATATTTGTTTAGTGCATCTCTAACCACAAGTGTTGGACAAGTGTCCCATATTTCCATGTTGGATTATTGTGTCTGATCTTCTTGCATTTTTTGTGAATCTCACATACATATTTTTGGGTGTTATTTGCAGGCGATTGAAGATGTATTCATGTAGTAGTGTGAGTTGGTATTTATTTCCATTTGGATGAAGTGGGGCTGTAAACTTCATAATTGTGGCTTTAGAACATTGGATAACACACACACACACACACACACACACTATAAGGTGGTTTGTGAGCTTCCTAAAAGCTATGTGTTGACAATTAATAATGGTGGTACTCATGTCTCCCTTGTGAGATTATGCATATTACTTGGAATTTTTTTTGTTTTTATTTTTTGTAACAATATGGCTAGAAGTTATGGGTGCATGTAAATTGAATATGATCAATTTTTGGATATGAAGTGAATTCACAGCTTGGTTCTTGCTTTTGTGCCTGAAATCTTTGGAGATGGTCTGAAAGTATGTAAGGTTGTGTTCGGCTGCATGGGAATTTGATAAAATTCTGGTACAATTTTGTGAGTTACTTCTCTCTCTAATTTCACAAACTCTAATTTCATGCAACCGAACATAGCCTAATGCCTTTTTTGTCTGTGTAATTAAAACAAATCAGTGGTTATGCTTAGGAGGGAATGGCTGAAATAGAATTGGTAAGACATTTCAATCTCATAGAACAAACTATAAGAGACATTGATACATCAAATTCCTCTTGCTAGGTGGCAATCTTATTGTGAGACAAACAAGAAAAAATGTGCATAGGATTAAGCGGGGTTGATCTGATCAATCAACCGGTTAGTGGTCCATCGCTATCAAGTCGTTACTTTCGAAAGAGAGGTCAATGGGTCAGTGGTCCATCGCTATTAAGTCCCTACTTTTGAAATAGAGGATAGGGTGCAAGCCTTGGTGGAGGCATAAGAGTGCGAGTACAAACTAAGAAAAAAGAGAGGTTGATTAATGATAGTAAAATTTATATGAGGTAGGAGTAATTTACCTAGTGAAATTTTGACAATATAATTTTATTGATATGCATATTATACACACAAGGAAAAAAAATTATGAGAAAGATGGTGATAATGAATCATGTGCGGTGCTGAATGCTTGAGGATGAGGAGGGTAGCAACACTTCTAGACATTTACGTTGATTCCGTGACAATCATGACTTCTGATTCGTCTCTTTAATTTCAATCCTTATGTTGATTTTGTAATTCTTTTGGATAATAATGGATGTTCTTTGATGTTTGCCACCATTTTAGTCCATTGTCTAGTACAACATTGAAGTAATGTTGTATTGGACGTTTATAATTCTTTCACTTTATGTAATTTCTAATTTTTCTCATATATTTTTGTTATTCTTTCATCAAATTTAAGTCTTTTGTGTTTTTTGTGCACCTTCTTGTACACAAGAAATCCTATAAAATGAAATTCTAGAAATGTTGGTATTCAACATAAATGTTTCGGATTTAAATTTCAACTTTACAAAATTATGAAAAGAACTGTACTGTTAATCAATCCAATCAAGTTTATGTGTATAACAATTTGTCTATATGCCCCTATCGCCAAGGGGACTCAGTACACATATCAAATGTGGTACGTGACCGAGTGTAGGATATCAAATATTCCAACCTAAGAAAATGGCAATAAGGCTAAAATTTCATATATATGGTTTTTTCTTATCTAGAGTAAAATTTGAAACAATGATGTAAAAGAAAAGGAACATAACAAGGAAGTTTTATGAACAAATACCTTAAATGTTAGTTTTTGATATACTAGTTTAGTGCATCTCTAACCACAAGTGCTGGACAAAGTGTCCCATATTTTCTTGTTTGATTACAGTGTCTGATTTATTTTTTTTCCTAGTTGGTACTCACATACATATGCCTCCACCGAGGTTCAAACCCTTTACCTCATTCTGAAAAATAGGAACCTGATTCCACTAAGCCACTGACCCGTTAGTATGTTTGATTATTATACTTCATGTAATTTCGTGAATCTCACTTACATATTTTTGCATGTTATTTGCAGGCGATTGAAGATATTTTTTTAAAGTAATGTGAGGTTGAATTCATTTCCAATTGGACGAATGTAAACTTTATAATAGTGGATTTAGAACATTGGATTGCTCTTCATTCATAAAATGTGGAATTGTATCAATGCCATGGATTGGGTTGCATCTTCTACTAAGCCTCCATGCTCATCCTTTCCTTAAACATTTTTTAGGTCACGGCAAGGACGTGATTGATGACGGACCTCCACGAGTGTAGTTGTAGTTGACGGAAACTATCTTTTCTAATTTTTGTATCAATGCCTATTGCTTGGCGAGTAATGTAATTCGTTTATATTATTCTTATAAAAGGCATTGTAATCAAGACTTTAAAAGGTATGGATATTTTGGTCTTTTAAGCAATTCTTTAGGATTAAATGGGATTTTGATAAAGTCAAAGGGGATAGCAATGTCTTTTTACAGGTAAAAAGTGGTTTGACAATACTGAAAAGTAATTTTTAGGGTATGAGTAAAAAATGGACTAAACATTTGTAATATGAGTGATATTAATTTTAGAAAGATATTTTAATATGATATTTAGTCAAATACGAGAAAATACAAGTAGAGCTCTAGAGGTTGTGCGGCCTAAGCAATAATATAATTCTCATATCTATCTTGGGCGTATGTGTGAATTTCTTAACTGGGTGGGTAGGGTTCACTTTAATTACCCCATGTTTCTAAAAGCGCAAAATCCAAACCAATTATATGCACCGCCCACGCAGAGGAGCCCAGAAGGAGAATATATATATATATATATAGAGAGAGAGAGAGAGGGAGAGAGAGAGAGAGGAGGGGGGGGGGGGGGGGGGGGGGGGTGATGATCCATCTCTATATTACATGTCAGTCTCATGGTTGGTGCCAGTAGGGTTAGGGTCAGGGCCGGACCTGGGTCTAGGCTGTCCAGGCGGTCGCCTAGGGCCTCCAAATTTGGGGGGCCTCAAATTTTGGCCCAACCTATATACTTATACTAGGACTCAAAAATTGGCCCCAAAAAACGTTTGGGTTTATGGGCCCAATTTTGTTCAGTTTGGCTCTTTTAGCCACTGATGTTCTTTACCCATTTTTATCTTTTTCGAATCAAGAAAAAAAAATGAAAAAACGATCTGTGTTCTAGGGCTCCTGTCGGCTGTCGCTCCTCGAAATCGAAGGATAAGATTTGGGTTTGTGTTTCCAATCTGAAATTGATTTTTTTTTTTTCTTCTTGATTCCGTGTTTTTATGGAATCCTTTATCTCCTTCTTGATCCATTTGAATCTAATTTCATTGGTGTGTTTGATTATAGAATTTTGAAAATTTATGGGACGCTTGAAATAGGAGATTTTCCCCTTACCTTAGAGGCTTAGAACAAAAAAGACAGGATAAATTGGATAATCAAGAATTCAATCTTCCGTACAGACTAAAACCTCCATTCTTTTTCTGATTTATGAAGATCTCAGCCTTGCTAGGATTGCTATTTATATAATTATATGTCCAATGGTAAATGGTTGTGTTCCAAGCATATAGATATTATATATACTACGATAAAATCATAAAAACAGTACTGATGACCAATAAGGAAAATTACAAAGTTTTTATTTTATTTTATATTATATTTGCGGTCAATTATTGCTCATGTGATAAAAAAAATAAAAAAATAAAAAAAATTAAATTAAATTAAAGAGAATCAAAATGGAGAATCAGACTACAACCTCCATTGATTTATTAGGTTAAGGAAAATATGAGAAGAATCAAACATTGTTGATTTTTGTCAAACAATTATGGACCACTTTTTTTGCTTTGCATTGAGGTAATATCTAATATTTTATGTCAGCAACCTGAATCAATTCATTTCATTGCATTGCATCGAGGTAATCTATATTTTATTTCCGCAAAACAAATATTTTTTTTATAACTTCTATTTCTGTTTTATTTTATTTTATTTTGTCAATTATGTTTACAAGAAAATTTGAATCTGGGCATGAAAAAATAAATAAATAAATAAATAAATAAATAAATAAGAGAGAGAAGAAGAATTGATTCAATATGAGAAAGGCGTTATTCATAAGTTTTTTTTAGGAACAAAATGAAGATAGGAATGAGAATCAAAATGAAGAAAATGTGAATGAACTTGAAGGTTTGGTAATGAAGAACATCTAAATGAGAATGATAATATTTCCTTGAACATTAATGATCCATCAAATTGGAAAAAGATTGATAAAAAAATTGAGAAATTTATTAGTTGAAAGAGGTCCTCTAAGAGATGCTAAACTTGAAGCTTTTCAATGTTGAAGTTAATCAAATCGTACTTGCGGTCTGCGATAACACAAGAGAGATTGAATGGATTGGTTATCTTATCTATTGAAAAAGATATATTGGAAAAACATGATTGGAGCACTTTAATTGATAATTTTGCAGCTTAAAATGAAAGATCAGATTTACTTTAATGAAAATTTTGCACTGTTATAATTTTTTTTTGTGTGTGTGCATGAAACATTATGTATAAAGGACCTCATATTTAAAGTTCGCCTAAGGCCTTTCAAGATTTTTTCAATCTCAGGGCCAACCTGGTTATGGTTTTTTTTCTGTTGTGCAATCGTATGGCTCCTTCTGTCTCCCTTGTCACTTCTGAACCACCACAAAAGTCTTATGGACAAACAGGAAAGGGGCTGAACATCCGTGACGTGTTGACCGATGAACAGATAGCCTTGTACCGTGAAGCGGTTTTCATAGGAGTATGTGTCTCTTCTCCTCAACCCCATCGTTATATTTAAACATAACATAGTGTCTATATATGTGTATATATATGGTGCTAATTAATTTAATTTGGTGTTTTTATTATAGGGGTTTGATTTTCCAAAATTTTACCCCAACAAGAATTCAGATTTGGTCATTGGTTATTGTCGTTCATCAATTCAGCAGTACAATAAAATGAATGTATGCAAGTTTTTTTTTTTTTTTTCTTTTTCTTCTTTTAATTAATATATGTTAAATTCACATTAGCCTTCTTTTCATTTTGGAAAATTTCTTTGGTACTAGGGGACAAATTACGAGTTTGTAAGAACTACGGGGGCAAAGGTTTTGGGTGTTAATTTCACCTTGTGCCTTACTTTTGAGGCCAAGGATAAGGATGATGCTGATGGTCAGTCTAATATTTTTCGTGCTAATGTGTTCGAGGGAAATCGACCAATCCGCGTGGGTAAGACTCATGAGGTAAAATTAATATATCAGATGTACATTAGATTCTGTTATTACTCGTTTGGGGAGAGGAAGTTATGGAGATTTTATTTGTATGTGTATCTATATATGTATATTTATGGAGTTCAACAGCTGATTGTCTAATTCCCATTTTTTTTCATGTGTTTTTATTTTTATTTTTTTTATTTTACCTCATTTATAAGTTATAGGG